AGCCCCGCTCGCCTCGCCTCGCCTCACGCCGGGGCAGCCGTGTGTGAAGCGTTCGCCCCGCGGTGCTGCGGGCGCTCACGCTGGGTACCCGCTCGCTGTCTGTAAGTCAGGCTCCCGAAAGAGAGGTGCGTGCGGCTGCGCTCCCCCCGCGCCAGGTTCTCGCGGGGCCTGAGGAGCGGGGAGCTCAACGGAGAGGAGGCTTTCCCTAATGCCCCCATATCTTGATGAGACCCTCTCATGCCCCCGCCCTTCAACGCTGTGAACGTCGGATAGGTTCTTTTATTTTCTTGGATTTTGCTTAACAACTGCGCCGTCGCCTCTGAGGTGAAAAAAGTATTAGCCTGTAAACCACTCTCAGCCTTCTGAAAAGCACTGTAGGATTTTGGTCTGCATGTGGTGGGCAGTTGGTTTCCTGCATATCTCCAAAAAAACCCCAATCACTAAACAGTTTTAAGCTGTGTATTACGTCATGTGCTGTGTTACAGTACTGAAGAGCTGAGTTCAAGAAGTTTTCCACTTAATTTTTCAAGCACTCAGAAATTTAAACTGGTTTAGTAGCTTATTTGGTTTTGTTAAGTTATTTATTAAGTTTATGAAGTTATTATTTAGTACGTGCCTGTACTTATATACAGGTTCCTGTGAACAGGGTGCTGTAGCTGTGAGGTGTAGTTATAAATGATATTTACAAGTATAACTTTGCATCCGGCGTAACATGACAGAAGCCAGACATCACTAACGTAAAGAGTAACACATAAATTATGCAAGCACGTAGTTTGCGTGTGTGGTTGTAAGCATCTGAGACTTTGGGAAAACTTAATGTGAAATCTGAAACTCGAAAGTCAAATTTTAGTGCTTTCATAAATGATTAGAATTCAGTAAGCTTTTCCCAAAACATATTGTGAACATTAGTACTGTGCATGTATTCAAAGCATAGTGTAACAATGTCTTTTGGTGAATATTGAAATTTATAAGCAGGGTTTGTGTAGATAGCTGATACATAAATATCATGCTGGCAACTTTTTAACACAGACTTGTTTAATACTGGAAAATATGTGTTGATGTATGTCTTTGGAATTTTAATTTCACTTGGTTTTCCTTTAATAGAGTGACAAAACTGGGGCAGGCAACTGAGAATGTCATCCTATTTGGCTCAGGAGGTTCACCTTGCTAGAAGACATGAAGAGATGTAAGTAACTGTTCCAGTGCTGCGGCCTGCCTCACAGCAGTTTGTGTTGTGGTCTTGGAGACGTCCCTCTCTGCCCATGACCCGCCCGTGAGCGCTGAGTGCCAGCTCTGTACAGAGCACAGTGGTGTTACAACGCGGGGTTGGTGTTCCAGGAGGTGGCACTCTTCCTTCATGAACTATTGGAATTAGCATCACTGGTTGCCGTGTAGGGTATTTAGGTTGATGAGGTTTTCGACTTCCAATGGTGGTAGTGGTTTAAGATCTCCATTGTTAACCTCCTGTCACCGTTAAATTCCTGTTTGGGGAAGGTAATTGGATTCTCTCACTCTACGCCTTAATTATAGAATTGCTTCTTTGTTACCCTGTAAACTCAGACTGTGAAGCAAATACAGTAATGATTCAGAAAAATCTGCTTTTCTTATAACAACTAGTACTTGCCAGTGAGCAAGAGTAGTACTGATCAAGTCACCCCAACCCACCCTGTCTTTCCTGTTCTGGGAGGCTCAGTACTTCCAAGCACCTTGGCATATGAGGGCTGCTGATTGCAGCATTATAGCTTCGTACGAGCGCAGCAGGTGGTGTCTGCCTGTACCTTTTCCCTCCCCCAGCACACCCACCCTACAGCCGGCTTAATTAGCCCCATAGTTTTGAGAAAACTGGGTAAGGTAAAAAGGTTATTTTCTATCTCCTGAGCAAAATGTTCTACCCACTTAGCAAAATGTTTTCCTTTGTAGACTGTCTCGGAGATCAGAGCTGCTACAGCAGATGGAGACTTATCTAGGAGACAAAAAGACTAAAAAGACATGGCAAACTCAAGCAGCTGATGCAGCTCGTAAAAGGAATGCAACACTTTTAAATGTAAGTTTCTGCAACTACCAGGGACCGCATTGAAATGTCATGGTGGCATAGCTTAAAGAATTAGGAAAAAAAAGTGTTTGCTCTATAGTTATCATTTGAGTTCTCCTATATACAGTTTGCTCTTCTGGAACTTGATCAAAAGTATTAAATGGAAAGTCTTTATTATCTGATGGCATTGCTACCTTTTTCCCATGCCCTTCTTATGTGAGCCTCGTGGTGGCAGCTGCTACTGTCTTTTTTCTTTTTTTTTTGAAGTACATGTAGAGGTGCAACGCAGACTATTACGTGTCTTCTTAAGAGTCTGGCAAGACTCACAGCACCTTTACACTTTGATTCAAGATACGGGGGTATGTTTGCGAAGAGGGGCTGACCAGCCTCTAATGCTTTTACTCCAGGGTAGGAACTGTTCTCCCACTGTGGTTGTGTGAAGTTGTGGAAGAAGTTCTCAGCTTAGTGTTTTGCTTCAAAGAGGTGTACAGTGACTTCAAGAATCTTACTTGCAAGTCTGTAAAACCAGTGTTTGATGTTTCTGGCTCTTCCTGGTGGTGATACCATTAATAATTTTAATAGCTGTTCTACATAATTGTTGTCACATTTAGGTAAGATTTGTGTTTCCAAGGTAAATTCACCAGGCGTTCAAGAATGGGCAATTAAAAAGATCTAGGTTTGATGGCAGGGACTGGAATGCCAAAACCTCTTCTGGACCCCTTAGCCTAGGCATCTACGTTTGAAGAGATTGCACTTGACCACTAATATGAGCATGCCGTTGAATAATGTTTGCCTGTTTTTTGGGAAACAGCAGAAGAACATACCTCTTGTGCATTTTCTTTAAACTCTTAATCATAAAGGGTCCATATTGCATGTATTATGTTTGTTGAAACAGTAAGTTTTACTCTAGAAAATGACAAGATTAATTTGTGTCACAAAGTTTTTTGTTTCTTCATGCAGAGCCTGGTTAAGATTTAAAATGTTCACATTTCAGGTAGGTATAATTCTGTTGCAGGCCCTCTTTGTATTTAAATAGGAGTTATGTTTAGGGAGTGGCAGAGAAGGCAGAACAGGGATGCCTTCTTTACTATTCTGTGACAGGGAAGAGTTTTCAGCTTGGACTCTGGTAAACTGGTGCATTCTGGGCTGGGGCAATCAAACCCCTCTGTAGCAGGTATAGACAAGTGTAGATGCTTCGGTGGGAGGCTGGGGAGAAGTGGATGGCTTGTTTATTTTTTCCATAGTTCGTGCTCCATTGATTTAGTAATTTCAGCCATTATGACTCCAATTTTCCATACTTTTTTTATAATAGATTTTTATTTCATAAATACATTTTTTATAAATCATTTGTGTTTTATAAATACATTCTCAGTTAACATAAACAGGCATTCCTAATAAATGCAGGATATATTTCTGCATGCTGAAAGCTTGTTGTATTGGAAATGTTAACAATAGCTCAGACATATACAGAGTGTAAATATTTTTGCAGTTAAACAGATATTTGCCATCTTCTGTCACATCCTCAAAATTGTTCCTTTCAAGTGTCAAAAATGTTGGTGTTTGTATGGAAAAAAAGCAAAAACATACGTATCAAAACAAATTCTGTTGCAGGATAAAGTAGCATAAATCAGTTTAAATCTATTAATTTTGTACTAGTTTTAACAGGCATGCACTCCTGCAGATGCTTTCTGATAACAGAAGAAAACAGGAGAAAAAAAATCTATGCAGAATAATATATGAGAAGCTTGAAAACAAGACTGATTAATGTGCCAGCTTCAGAATATTGTTCCTGATACCAGGCACTGTACATTTCACAGTTACCATGTGGAGAGTTGTTGATTTGGCCTACTCAAAAATACATGGACATGATGAAGTGTTATTTTTTTATTTGCATTTCTGGTTTTCTGCATGTAAGCAAAATCAGTTGTTTTCAGTATGCGATCATAGCAAAAGACATTTTTCTTTCTCTTGCTGGTTGATATTTATGCACAGGAAAGCATCTCAAAATTAATTTCTTTTCTAATCAGTAGGAAGCAAGGAACTAAACGTATTTTTAATTGAAATTTCAGTATTATAAGCACTGGTTCAGCGTTTTAACATAATTGCCGGAGCATTTTCCTTGATGTCTTTAGAAGGACACTGCATATTAAGAAAATCTGTGTCTTTTGGTACTTACATGATGTTGTTGTAATACAAGCGGAAATTAGACTAGTATTTATAATCTAATTTGTGACATTTGTCAGCAATATTTCTTGTGTTTAGAAGAAAGTATTACTGTGCAACAGCTTATAACATGAAATAGAAAATAAAGAATGTGCTACATAGTAGTTAGTATTGGGAAGGTAATTTAGACCAAATTTAATTTCCTTCACAGGCATGTAATTTTAGAATAATTTAAGTGGGATTCTGTCAGGCCGATATCAATATAAGTGACAGCTGAATTTGGTCCCCTAAAAGTGATGCATGTGTCATGCATTCCATTTTACCTCTGGGGAAGGGTCTTGAATTGTTTTTGTTCCAGTCCTTGTGGTTTTAGGGGAAGCGTTGTAAGATGCTCTCTTTTTTTCAGTACTGTGACATATTAGATTTGCTGGTTTTTCCCCAGAAGTTTACGCTGCTGACGTATTTATATGTATATTGATGACGGGGCTTTCTTTTTCATATAAAGCTTACCAGTGGTATACACACACAATAAGTGCCATCTAATCTTTCAGTAGTTCCAGTTATTTTCTGAAGCATGATACACCTTCCAGCAAAAATTTCTTTCACTGTCTGTCATTAAATCAGTATTCTGAATGACAATAGACTGCACAACATACAAACTAGAGCAAGCAACAAAAAGACACATCCAATATCTAGGCTATGCCAAAGTGACCTTCTCTACTAAACATATCTGCACAACTGCTGTCTCCTTTCTTGCCTGAAAGACACTCATTTCCCATCACCGTAAACGTTCTGATGACTTAGCTGAGTGTATAAAGAAATAATGATCTTTTGATATCCTTCCTTCCTGTGACAATTCCTACAGGAATTAGGAAGAAGGAATCAGAAAGGAGGAAAATACTGTGGAAGAATATGAAGTGAATGTTACTGATTGATCCTTCTTTTCAGTATGGTGATAACTTCTCCAGACTTGATCTGAGTCAAACTGATATGAGTTTCATTTGGTGCTATTTGTGATGTGTCTGTTCTAGGTACATGCAACAGAGAAATTCCATGCTTAGGTTAGTTAAGTCTGTGCCGTCCTCTGTTATTTTGACATTGTGAATTCGAGTGGCTTCTATCTTTGCCCGTATTCATTCCCTGTCAGTCTTTTCTCACCTGAAAAGGGGAAGCCACTTGCTACTTCCAAGGACTTTGGTAAATCTGAGACTTAGTTTGCTCTTTCTCAGACATCCTTTAGCTTCCTGCAAGGGTATGCATGTTGCTGTAGAAAAGGGAGAACAGCTTTGCTTGGATTTTGTTTGTACTTACATACGAGAGGATACAGTCATGCTCTAAAAGGAATTAACGGAATAGAATAAGATGAACACTGTGAACTGAATGAACCAAGTGTATCTGTATCACTAATTTGACCTTCAGCTAACAGTAAGGCTGTTTTTTGCTTTTGTTAATCATATTCTACTGAATTTGAGTCATATTTTTCAAACTAAACTGGAGTCGAGCACTGTTTACGTATTGGTGTATTCATATTGGCTATTATTCAACACGAGTAATCATGTTTGGTCTCTCTTGTGGATATGCTCCTCCAGAATCTCACTCTTCTTTTCAGCGGCAGTGATGGTGAATATTTGGGAAGTCCCTTTGGGGAATTTCCTCTCTCATTTAGTTTTTCTGTTGTACTCTTCACACCCGCTCTCTGCTCCCAACTCTGCCATCTGCTATGCTTTCTTTCCCCCTCCACTCTGTTCAGCTTTGGCTTCTTCACACCCCACTCCCACGTCCCTTTCTGTCTCTCTTCATCTGCCCACCATTCAATCTCTTCAGTGTTTGGGTATGGAACTAAGCCCACAAGAACGGGTCAGAACTTTAAAGGGGGAGGGCGGTTAGTTTGGGGGGGGATGTTTTGATTTGTTTGTTGATGTTGTTTTTCGGTTGTTTCTTTTTTAAAAAATTTATTTAGTCCTTTGTGGATCCAGCACACGTCCACTGGACAAGCAGAAACCCAAATACTGATTTTTTGCAAAAAAGCTGTGTGAGGTGCATTGTCATCCAAGTTTGTCTGGTGAACAGCTTGCTGCAGCTCTACATTTTTGTGCACATGTTATGCATGCATATTAGCAAGTCATCTTTGTCTTGGGGAGTAAAGATCTTGCACATAATTTGCCTAGTTACTTTACAGTAGCTAGAATACATACTTCAGTCTTCACGCAGCACAGAGAAAACCATTCTGTTCCCCTCTGTCACCTTAAGTTTTATAGAACAGAATTTAACTGTAATTTACCCTAGTGTCCAGAGAGAATAATGGTGTTTTACAGCAACAGTCTTATGTGGTCATGAAATCTTGTATCAAAAAGGTACAGCAAACATATTTAGAAACTGTAGGATGTTAGTCTTACTAGTACAAGCTGGATTTCAGAATGACTAAACAGAAAGGTTTGAACTTCAGTGTTGTGATTTGAATGCTGGTTAGCTGTAATGGGTTTATGTGGTTAATTTAAATGTCTTTGAGTGTGCATTTTCCTTTAATATTCACAGTATTTGCTTTTAAAATGTACTTTTACCTGTGTTTTAGGATATAGAAGCAGCAGAAAAAAAGCTGCAGGAAAGAATGTATTTACTTCCACATCCCGATACTGTTAAGTTAGAAGTAAGTCCCAGAACTCTGTCTTTTCATTTGCTGTTTACCAAATATTTTGCTTTTTTTCCCCCCTGAAGCATGTTCTTAAAGTGAAAATAATTGATTTTAAAATCCAGTGACTGGTATAGCCAAAGGCCTGTGTACTGTGTAGCAAGCTGAACCTTAATTCTGGGGCAAGGTCTCTAGATTCTGGAGCATTCTGGTGGAAATATTTAGCAGCTTTCAGATCTATACAAACTTCTATTGAAAAATGAAGTCAAATATAAAAATCAATACTGTGAATATCAGAAGATTACTGTGTTTATTATGTTAGAGCTATTTAGTTTTGTTTATATGGTCGTCCAGTTTTCAGTTTGCCACAGACTGTGATCTTTACATTTCAGGGTCAACAGTTTATCAGCATGAACAGAGAAGTTTTCACTGCTCAGAGTTATTTTACGGTTGTATGGGAGCTTACAAAAAGTACTGCTACAGCAGGAACACTTGATTTTTCCTTCTCAACCTATAGTCCCTAGAGCATTATTTAAAGATAAAGATGCTGAACAGCAAGTTACTCTGAGAACTAAATATTATCCTGATACAACATAACAAGTTTCGTTCCCTGGTCTCAAAACTATTTCATCAGTCTTACGCAGTGATGAGGGAATGATGAGGACAGAAAGGTTCCATTCCCTGGTATCAAAACTATTTCATCGGTCTTACGCAGTGATGAGGGAATGATGAGGATAGAAAGGGTCCTGGGAACAGGAACAGGAGCACAGCTCTTCCCGATGCGAAGTGATATCTTAACCACAAGGCCACGGAGTCAGATTCCCACTTGTGTTTCTTGCACCTGTGTTTTGTGGGTTCTTCATTGTATGGTGGTTTATTTTCCACAGGCATAGTAGCACAGAGTGTCCCACACTAGTTTATGTGCTAGAGCACTGTCAAAGGAGGGGAAAGGTATAGATTTTACCGCTGTCAGCCCGGGAAGATAGGTGTATCGTACATTGGCTTCACACCTGCTGTGCAAGTGTTGTGATACTTAGGCTATTACTGAAATGAGAGGCATCACTTCTTGTTGTGGTTACTGCAACAGGTTTTTGTCTGTTGTTGTGTTTTGTACATAGGCTACTCCTATCACTGTGACAGGATGCACGCCGAGTATGCCATTCAGTGATTTAAAAAAAATTTTTTTTAGATATTTTAGGCAAAAGGGTGCATTTTTTCCTAGACACCTGCATATCTTGAATGATGCTAAGAAAGATGCCAAGCTACTAATATTGCCCCTATTTGGACTGTGTTCAGAAGTAGTTTTAGACTCCTCAAGGACTTTCAAAGCACCTCTAGAGTTGTTTGGTTCAGTTTTGTACTGCTTCTCCCTCTGTCCTGTGTTAAGATGCTTGCAATGTGCAGACCAAAGTCCACACAAACTGGAGAATGCAAAGCAATTACTTGTGGCTGCAGAGATGTCTACGCTCTGTAGCAGCGGTTGAATTTAAGAGAGAACAGAGTTACTGTTTGAAGGAGAAGATCCTGTTTCCGCCTTTTTTATACTTCTAGAGAAGAGTGCTATAAATAGGGGAAAAAGAAAACTTTCTTTCATGGTACAAAATTCTTGTGCGTGCTTTGTTCCAAAACGCTTCTGAGCATATTTCTCTCAGCCATATATGTGTCTGTATTAATATACTTTGAAAGTTATGGCTATAATGGATCTCCAGCTTGCTAAGTCGGAGTAGTTTTGTGTGACAGCACATATGCTTGTCAAAAAAGATTCTTTGAGTAAATCTGTTGAAGAAAATATTTTTGTAAATCTGCAAGAGCCATAGTTATATCTGAGTTACATGTAAGGATCAAAATGATTAGCCAGGAATCTCATACTCTGCAGGGAGATGTTCAGTTTTGTGGTACGCTTCTTCTACGTTATATGCTTAAACAAGTAAAGAAAAAAAGCTTGGTACAGAAGTACCTTAAGTGTTTGCTACTACAAAATTACTTTTTTTCTGAGTGGACTTCAGTATCTAAAAAAGCTTACACTGATGGATGGATTGAAGTCTTGGCTTAATACAGTTCTTTGATCACAGTATTTTGTGGAAAAAAATGATACGTGGCACTTAAAATTTTCTTCAGAGTCCTGCAAACAACAAAGTTATCCTTAGGATACCAGCACAAAAATGATGAATGGTATGTCTGTTCTACAGAGAAAACAGACCTTAAATTTATTACTCAGAGGCACAGGGTGGTGCAGAGGAAGGGTAAGATAATCAACAGTGATTTTCCTAAACCGCAGGATAAGAATACAGCTTTTTCTTTTTTCTTTTTCTTTTTTTTTTTTTATTTGTGATACAAATACTGGAGCTGGTTACTTCGAATTTATCACAAGTAAAATTTTACTCAAATATTTTGAACTACATTACTGCAAACTTTTTTAGGGTAACCGATTTATGTAGCACTTTTCCTTTATAACATTCAACAAATTTTTTCTACTTCAAAATTAAATTCCACTAACATATGTGCTCAAGTATAAAAGCTGCTTTTTGAAAAGCTTTTCATCACGAAAAATGCTTTATTAAAGGTACTGTGAGGGTCTCAAGTAATTTGTTGCTTACCACAAGAGGGCACATTCAGTCACTTCGCAGTTCTTGCTGTAGAATGAAATCTTTCCAGGCTGGTATTTAGTATCATAAAGAAAGTTGAAATTTCATGTATAAGTACGTTGCTCTTTTCTGAATTGCTTCACTCATAAGGCAAGATTGAATAATGCATTGCATATCTGTATTGTTTTTAAACGGGCTGACACGGATTTTGAAATTAAGTGTATTTTTCTTATGTCTTTCTCAGACTCTCTATTGGGCATCAATAAAAGAATCTCTTCCCAAGTGGGAACAGTTTCTTTTAGGAAGAGCAGAAATTCCTATTGGTTTTAAGAAAATGAAAACTGCAAAACAGAACACAAGCTACCCAGAAGAAGATTCACAAAAATAAACACTCTAGTTTCATTTTGTTTTGTAATTTATGGCTTTAGCAGACAAGATCATCCAGATCAGGCAACAGAATATCGTGCCATTATATTGTCACCTAAATCATTTAAATGAAGATTAACTATATTGGATAATTTGCTTCCGCTGTTGCATTGTGTACAATTCTTTATTTTTGTTCGATAGCAAAGAAGCAATCCTCAAAGGGGCTTTTAGGATCAAAAGTGAGAAACACTGGTATGTAGAAACCCAAGGCAATTGTGTTTTCAGTATGAGAAGAGTTTTAGGTTATTTTTAATCCTCTGCTTCTGCATATAAGAGGGATAAGTAAAGACAGATTCATGCATTATCTTTCTTCCCTGCAGTCATCTGTGCTGATGTCTCTTTGTGGGTGAGGGAGAAAGGAGGAATTTACCGTTAACAGGAAAGGCAGGCTGTTTGCATCAGACAGCCTGGCCTTGGTTTAGCACCAGGAATCTGTGTGAAAACCTTCACGAGAGCAGTTGTAGAAGGAACACCTTGAATTTCCGCATCTTGCTTTCCCTGATTTTTGTCAATGCCACTTTCATTGCTTTAGCAGCTAACTCCAGTAACCACTGCTGCTTTTCCTGACCTGCTGCTGCCTACTTTGTATTGCCTGCCTGGTGGGTGGGTGAAGACAAGAAAAACTAATGATTTGGAGATCCAAAAATATTAAAGCTTCTTTGTTATAGTTTCATGTTTCTTATGATCCCTTCTATCACTAGCCAAATCTCTAAGGGGGGTTGCTACTTCTAGGCTGCTCTTAATGCTATTTTCTTTATGTTGACATAATCTACAAGCGAGAACTTTTGCTTAGGCATTAAAAGCTTGAAAGAATCAAACTGTGAAGGGTGACAGGCAGTGCCTGTCCAAGAACCAAGTATATAGAGAAGCCGAGGAGATAATATTTTCATTTTCAGCCAGTGAACAGCTCCTTAGCTTCCTCCTACAGAGGTGCAGTGTCAGTGAATTTTGATTGTACAGTGGGCTAACTTGGTATGAAAGTTTCACTGCTCTAGTGCAGTGCTTTTTAAGGTATCAGTTTAGTGGAAGATCCTTCCAGGTGTGTGACTTGGCCTGCAGAAATTTTATCTTTCCTAAGCAAAGGAAGCCAAGGAAAAAAAAAAAATTATGAAATTAAGAGCCTGGACTTGAGTCCATGTATTCTTAAAATTTTATCTCATATGGAACAACATACTTCTTCTTCCAACCTGGAAGTAGGAGAAAACAATTTACCTCTGCCAGTGTTTGAGGATATAAAATGTAATTATTACAAATTTTGTTAGGCTGCTAGTGAACAGATCTATGCATCTCCATGCTACATAGAGATATAATTTTTTTTTTTTTAACAGTAGGGATGTTTTAGTGACTTTTATTGAAACCAAGGTACACTTTAACATCTCTCATAAATGTCCTGACTGCCTTGTATCTGTCCACTAAAAGTTTGTGTTCGTTTAGCTAATTAAAGACAGTTAAGTTATTCGCTGATTAGCTGTTGGTGGGGAGTTTATGGTCCAGTCAGAACTAGAGAACTACCTTCTAGCTAAAAACTGGAGGAAGTCTGTATAGTCTTTACGGACCAACATCTGCAGATGCTGTTCTCTGTGAAATTAGGTACTCAGTTTTGTCTGAATTTAAATTAACTGAAGAATCACTGACATAATAAAATCAAAACTTCAGCTGTGGTATAAAATTGTTGTATGTTTTCAACGGGAATATTAAGAGTTCATTTAAAACTTTTTCTATTAAAGTGTCCATTAAACTGATAAGTTTTTACAGAAACTGCCATCTTAGAAATATCCTGTTGAGTGGGTGTTGGTGTTTGTAACAATAACGTTGTTTTCATAATATGTGATGGCAGATTAGCACGCTTCTCTGCAGTGTTGTTAACAGTTGTAATTAAGGAATAAACAGTAAAGGGTGTCAGTCCGATGACAATTTCATCTATAGTGTCACAATACAAAATGTCACAAAATATTAGAACTGTTATATAACTACAAAAATATCAAATTAGGCTTTCATCTTACAAGCAGAGAGCTTAAAAAAAACCTGGCATGGAGACCATTGCAATTTTATACCTACTCAGTCTTCTGTCACAAAGACAACTTGGTAATATTTTCTTCTGTAAGATCACAATGTGGTTCTCAACCTGATTTAGCGGGAATTTGTATGGATCTTAGAATTGTAGAGCTTACGTTTAAAAAGCAAATAATTGGAATCGGTTGATCGGACAAGAAGGAAAAAGCTATTACACATGATGCCCAAAATGAAGGGATGGGTGAGCAGTTAGTTGCTAACAAAGACTAGTATTCGTACTGGCCTTTGCATCCAAAGGGAAATCACTTAAACTAATATCTGAGCCCTTAAGTACTTCATAGGTGTGAATAATCTGGGTCTTTATCTCGTTGAACTCTGCCTAAGCAGCAGGATGCAGATGCTGACTGTCTCCTTGCCCCTTCTGATTTCCCGTGGAAGGAGAGCGAGGTGTGTGGATGATGAGGGCTGGCGGCTGGCTGGCTGAGGGTCTGGGAGCGTGATCTGAGGGGCACCTGCGAGCAGTGATGGTTTCTGTGCCGCAGTTCACAGCTCAGATATTATGTTTCTGATTATTTTGTTGTTGTTATTGGGAAAAGAGATTAAGATTAAAATTAAATTATCGTCTTTTCAAAGAAGGAAATTACTTTTTTTTATTTCCTGCAGCGTAGCTTTAGAAGCAATAGGGGAGTTAGTGCGTGGAAAATTGTTTAGGAACATGTCCAGAAAAGGAAAAAATGAAGAGAAATATTTAAAGCAGGAAT